ATGTTTACGACACTTTTAATTTTTAACTCCTTCTTTATTTTATGTTGTAACGAAAATGTTTTCCGATTCCCTTTGGAAAATCCCATTCTACGTTTGAGAGCTTGTCCGGAATCAAAAAAAGGATATTAAAATGAGGAAATAAAACGTGAAAGTATTTCAGTTACTCATACTACATAAGTACTGACTACAAAAGTGGGTCAACTTGTCGGAAGACCACTCTAACATGGATCACAAGTAATGGAAAAAATAAAAAAGAGATTGGTTGGACAGCTACTTTTCTCTGTGAATTGTATTAAAATTTTTTCTAATCATTCTGTGTTTCTAATCATCAACATATAAAAAAGGCAATTACTATAAATTACAAGATAAAAATTAAATTTGGATAAAATTGGTAAATTTTGCAAGTATATTAATCAACTCTCGAGCGTCTCTCATTTCTCAATTTAATTTAAAAATATAAATATCTAAATAAGTATAAATTCTTTTATTGACGATAAACGGATTAAATTGCTATATTTAATTGTGTGTAAGGTCCAAATCCTACTCACGTACAAATCACGTGATCTCATTTCCTCTCATTTCCTTCTGTCTAATATTATGATCATTTGTTTCAGATCTATTGCGATTATGTTTCAAAACAATCAAAGTGATGCATTAAATGTATATAATTGTGATATAATAATAATTAGAAGGTAATCTATTGCTTATCAAAGGCAAAAATTGCTTTTCATTTTAGTATAATAAAAATAAAGGAATTTAATTTGAAATCTTTATCTAATCTCTTTGAAAATGATCCATCTTTGAAAGAAACAAATGTAGTATTATGAAAGTAAAAACTTTATGCTTCAAAATGAGCACAAGATTGATTTTCACGACTTATATTGAACAGGTTCTATACTCATAAAAAAGAATTTTTAAAAAATCATGGAAACACTTGATTACTATCACTGAAAAGTCTGAACAAAGAAGAGAGATAATCAGTCATCATTGCAGTTCTATCTCGTCTCCTAGCAAATATAAGTCCTTAGCTACTCGAGTCATCTGAGATGCTGCGAGAAACGAGATAAGTCGACTTTACGAAATTCGATCGATGACAGATTTCCCGAATCAATTCTTCGAGAAGGTTGCAGAAAAATTATAATCACTTCGTCCAATGGACAAATAAATATGCATTGCCCTGGGGCAACACGACCCACGCGAATTTCACAAACGAGGCTGCAAGTTATGCGTTTCGTGTCATATGTATACGTAACTCTGTATGTATCACTTTTGAAATAGAGAGAGAGAGAGAGAGAGAGAGAGAGAGAGA